AATTGATGGTAAAAAAAGAATCAACTCTCATTAAATATGGTAGGTTTATAGTAACAACAACTTATATTGAATAAGGGTATTTTAAAAAAATTAAAATACAACTATATTTTTCAATTGGAAACTGGACTACAATTTGGAACAAACGAAAAAGGAAAACAGAACTATCAAAGTGGGACGGATGGAGTATCTTGGTTCTGTTACGGTCTTTGTATTATGGATGTCAAAGTAATGATAGTATAATCAAGACAAGGGCTGAAAAACGAAGTTGAAAATTTTGTTCCTTTAATTTTCATTTACCTGAACTACCACTAATGCATTTCACTTTATTATTGGGCATTGGGATGGGGTAGTTGGGTTCAATGTTTTAGAGCGGACGGTTGGATGGGGTAGTTGGGTTCAATGTTGTCATGCGGGTAGAGAAAATACTAGTGCACGAGGAAAGGGAATGTGAAAAGGCGGAAAACTGTAGTGGAAACATATTCTCAGAAAGAAAGGGTCCTTTACCTGCTGTACACGAATCTGGCGTTTTTACTTGATTTTTAGTTGATATACGGGTAAAGAAAGGGCATTTGAAAGCGTGCGAATTGGACATTTTCTATTTTGGGAGGATGGAGTAGACTGCGGAAAGGAGTAAGATTGCAGGGCCAAAAGAACGGTCAAACAGCATAAGATTCCTCTTAATCCTGCTTCCATTGACACTAATCATGCCATGTAATATTTATAAACACATGTCCAGAAAGACGTTCACCCCATTCAATAATGAACACAGTTAAGTCACTTCGAAGAAAAGATCCCGGGAAAAAATAAAAAAAAAGTCCGTATGACATTTGGACGTGAGACAGGGATGGTTGTTAGATCAACTGCCCCTAAATAGTGTAATATTTTTTTGAACGTTATGTAATTTTAAGTAAATTATCTATACATTTTTACAATAAAAAGGCATGATATTTTACAAAGTAGTTTATTCAAAAAATAAAAGGCCTTGTTTGGATTGCATTTTTTTAATTTTTTTTTTTTAGAAAAAACATTGTAGCGATTTGATATATGTAAGGTAAAAAGATGATTGAAAATATGTTCACGGAAAACGTAACAATTTTTCTGTCCAAACAAGGCCTAAGGTCGGTGTCCTTGCCCTTTGTCTGTGAATTTGTTAGAGACAGAGAATTGAAGAGGTCAGGTGGATTTGTCAGATTATCATATTCTACAAAATTTGGTCTTTTTTTTTTTTTAAGTTTAACAAGTTACGATTCGACTACATAACTATTCTTCTATAAACAATATATAATTTCATTCAAGAAAAAATATGTACTAATAGCAGCCGATACATAAAAAAATATGCAACAAATTAAATGAGTTGGACTCAAACTTATGAAAACTCGTCTCATTAGGTCCGATGATTTTCGATAGTTAACCAAAATCCAAGACCAGTCGGAAGTCTGAACGTTACCCTTACCTGCGGCCAATTATGAACACTTCCAAACATATTTACTATTAGAAATGAAAATCTGAGAGTGTCGATTGCACAAATGGTGGTAAGGGAATGGGACAAAACAGGGCCCAAAGTTGGACAAAGCATAATGCATCACAGCAGTTGTTTTCTTCTGGTTCATCATGACACCCCCCATGATAGAATCCAAGAAAGAGCATCTAAATACGTTGTTGTACCATATGGATGTGATTTGACAAACAGTAGCCGTAGAATTAAGAATGATAAACAAATAGAAAATGCCCAAGTTTTCAAAACGCCCCATTACTGCCACAACAACAAAGCCAGGGAAAGTACGGTCATTGTTTCAGTAATCTCTTCTCTTCTCGTTCAAAGCAAATCTACGTCCAAGTCAAGGTATCTACGCACAACATTTTTTTTTTTTATAAACCCTAGTGGACCGGCAGTGCATATTTGTTTTATCGATCCTATTCCTGCCTTCCTTTTTCACCATTTATTTGTCATTGACTTTGTTCCATGGTCAACTAAAAACTACTAGTACAGAATTGCCCGCTTTAATGTAAATGATATAATAGACAAATGATCCCTGTATAGTTTTCACTTTGATGTTAATTATCTTTGCACTTGGATATAAGTAAAACGGGGCGAATACATAGAATTTTCTTTCTTTCTTTCTTTTTTAATTTGGTAAGGATAGAATTTTCTTTATTCCCTCTTACTCAGTCAGAAGATTCAGCGAATTCAGCGGTGGGTCGCCAGCTTTGATTTTGGATCCGATGATGAACAATAATAATTTATGAGATTCCCTTTGCCTTAGCTGATGAATCATGACTAACGATGACCCCAAACGATCCCTATCGTTCCGAAGCATCTTGCATGTGATCACAAGCACATCGTCCGTGGCCCTCTCCTTCTTCATGAGGGTATCTTTTGTCCCTGCCTTCAATTTTTTTTCTCTCTCTCTCTCTTTTGTTTTCCGTCTTTTCATTTGAGATAGCATGAGAATGGAATCTCTTATTGCTCTCAAGTCAAGTCTCTGCTACTAAATATTTTCCGATGGAGACACGTAACCACTACTACACTACCTAGTTGTAAGTATATTATCAAGGAAAGGGCGTTTTTGTCATTTTGTCCGACGACCGTTGCATTCATTGGTCGTCTTCGTCATTCATAGCAAGAATTGGGTGGAAATACTCTACTCACTTTCGTTTGTGTGCTAGCTGGTGAGGTTGGAAAGGAGGAGTCCTCCAATCCAACCAACACAAGAATTCCACTTTGCTGGCCCCTCCTCCTCTCTAAAGTCTACATAAAAAAGGGGTCATCATTTTGCTTCTTTTCTTCTATCTCCCATGCTTCACAAATTTCAACTCTTATTCGAGAAGCCTGTCTCTTGCTTTCCACGAGACTGCAAATAGTAATGGTAGAAATAATTAGGGTTTAAAGAAGGTTTTGGTCTCCGCAAAGCATTACCCATAATTTTGCCTTTTCTTTTCCTTCTGAATTTTATTAAGGGGACGAAAGAGTCTGCTAGTTCATATTTCTTTGTAATCAAAGTTTGGATTCACGTAGTAAACACATTTTTCAACTCACATTTTTATATTTTCAATCATCTTTTTATTTCACGTATATTATATCATAAAAAGTGCTACAGTAATTATTTCAAATAATATTCTGTCCAAACAAACCCATTAATACTAGCACTCTTTAAATGGGTTGCATTAAATCTTCCGCTAAATGTGATTTAGCTTCACGACTCGCGAGAAGATGAATCTCTCCTTATAAATTAATGCACATAAAATACCATCCACCTGGATTTATTTCTCCATGGATAGTACCGATGCAATCACATGGAATGGACATCGATTTTTTTACTACGTTAAAAGGGTTTGTCTCTCTCTTTTCTTTCTCATTATGGTTTCTGGGTCGAAATAAGTCAGAGTTCAACGGTTTAGGTATGTTTCCAGTGTCAAATTGGCTTCTTTTTTTCTTCAACTAATTAATGCGTTTCTCGTTTTGAATCTTGAGCACGCCTTTATCTCGTAGAATGATACATAACAAGTTTTCTCTAGCCAAAAAAGTTCGAGGTAAAAAGTGATTCCCTTTGAGTGATGACAAACCATCAAATCCTGCCACACAAATTGTTGCTTTTTTTTTTTTTTGATTGGAGATTATTACTGTTAAATTATAAGGCAAATCAGTAGACTCTTTATATTTTTTGATTAAAATGAAAACGTGTCAAGTGTATTAACATTCTTAAAGCAAACCAAAAAAAAAAAACTATATTGATAAGTTAATTTCTATTGCCAAAACAAAAAAAAAAAGTTACTTTTGACGGTTTTCTGACCGAAATATCTATGTAGTTTTATGCGTTAAGATAAAATGGTCCCAGCATCCTTGAAGGGAAAAAAAAAAAAAGGAATTGCAGCTTATAAATAATAGTACTAGTATTTTTTTTTTTTTTTTTTGTCGACACAGGGGTGTCCAGGTCAATCCTTACGGGGCCCGACTAATTCCCTGTGGTTCGGGTTCGGTGCTCCAGCCCGACCCAAACACGATAAGTGCGCGGAGGAATCCAACAGAGTAGAGACTCGATCTTGGGACCAAGTAGTCACCAGTAGGAGGTGCTATCGCTGGACCATTCACGCGGGATTAGTACCAGTACTTTATCAGGGCCAAAAAAAAAAAAAAAAGCTTTGTAAGGAGAGAAATTTAGAAAATGGAAGGATGTTTGTTTGTGGATAGAGGGCCCCGCAAAAACGTGGCTGTGTCGGCTGATGAAAGAGCGGAATCCGTTTGCCGCATTCGAACGGCGGTGCTTTCAAGCGTTTTCCTTTTCCCCCCAATTACCCCTAACAATCCGAATATATGTGGGTCCCACGGATCGAAGATTCTCTCCCCCTAAACTAAAAGAGTTAAAAAGTTAAAAAGTCCTCCCAGTCCCACGTTGAAGAAACTGTAGTGCCCCTCCGGTCAGTCTCCAGCTCCAAGTCCGAGGAAAACAAAACACGCGACCGAGAAGTTTCCTTTTCTCATCATCTTCACTGCCCAGCAAAGCATAATAGTACTCCTCTTCCACAACTTTTAAACCGGAAAAGCGTTCTCATGCATGCACCGTTTCTTCATTCCCTGCCTCACGCCATCCATCATTTCACTTGTGCCATACCCATAAATAAATGCCCTTCACCATTTCCATCGAACTGCTTCTAAATTTCTCTCTAATTCTTCTTTCGCCCTACATTTTATTTTCTTCCAATTCTATTTTCTTAATGCTTCTTGGATACAAATTTGATTCTGTGGATTTCTCGTCGAGAGTATAGCCAATTTTAGACCTTTTTGACCCGATCCTCCACAGGAATGGATTCCACAAGCCCGTTCACTGGGATCATATGCCCATCCTAACAAGTTCGACAACCGAAACTAGTATTGTGGTGGGCTGGATTCCCCCCCCCCCCCCCCCCCCACAAAAACCCCCGGCACACGACCAAACAACAAAAAAGGGCCTGGCCACCATCTCTTTCCTATGTAGAAAAAGCATACGGTACCCAAAAAGAACTCTAGCAATTTCCTTTGCCCATATAATAAGAAAATCGGAGTACTACAGTCCCTTTTTGAGTATTGGATCCACGATTTTAATTTAGTACGTCTTGCCATGTGATAGGATGATATGTAAAGCTGGAAAAACTAATCCAAATTAGCTATGGTGGATTAGCAATTCACAGATTTTTATAAGCGATTCTATCCCCGTCTCTACAGCTCTCACTCAACATGTCACCACTCAGCATCTGTTCTGATAAAATGAGCATTTAGGACCTTTGATGTTGTGAAGCCATCTAATGGACCAAGAGCTCAGTTAATTTATGATTGCATATGATTCTCCATCCAGTCAGTTGGATCCTGGAAAGGAGACAAGATTCCATATCAGTTGTGTCTTCGACAAATCCTTTACCCATTTACTTCATCGATGGCCAAATATTCTAAAACGTTCACGGAGCACAGGATTTGGTTTTGTAATCAGAAAGAATGGTACCTCAGTAAAACGGCTTGGACAAACTTAAATCACTAGTCAAGCCAGCATACTTCATTTTTGGTTTTCTCTGAAAGATAATACATGGATCTGATGGGACAAGCACCTGACATACTGACTTCATTGGTTAGGTGGTAAGAGTCTCTGCAGCCACGGAAGTTTATCTTACTAACTTGAAAGAAACACCTAAATGAAGCTCAAACTTAATTTAGCATCTGTTACATGCAAGAATGCCATACTTTAGAATTTTCCAGGTTAGTTGTGCTTCTGAGAAGCTTAAGTGAGTCGAGTCTATAGCAGTCGCATTTTTTCCTCTAGGAGATGCTTCTTACATGATGCACAAAGGCCCTTCACCAAGCTTCAACTGTCACTTATTTTACATTAATTTTCCCTTTGTATTAGACTTAGCACTCTCATCATTTTCGTTTTTGTCATTCAGTAGGTTCAGTGCACAGCATAAGTGCAGAAACAGATCTGAAGTTTTAGTACAATTATCAACATGTAACCTTGTTAGGAAATACTATTCTAAATGTCACTTCTCTGGAAACAAAATTAATTTGACCAACAGATTAACATTATGAGCTCAATTCTGACTGTACACTTACTCAGACCATGCCAATGACGTTAATATTATCAAATCCATCAAAAATATTTCTACAAGATTCAAGGCTTCAATATCTTTACTAACGGACACTAGTCAAGAAGAGGAACAAACCTGCACCTTGGTTTTCCTTTATGTGCTTCCACATTCTCTTCACTACATCAACTCGAGATAGCGCATATTCACCAGTACCAAGGAACTTGACCACAATACCTGACAAGAAAAGGGGGCCAAGGCAACCCGACATTCACCCTTTCTGCTGTTTTTCTTTTCATTTTGGTTCATCAAAACCTAAATATTGGAAGAAAAAGAAAAAAAAAAAAAGAGACAGTGCTTGCTCATTCAGATTAAAAACTTATCTGTTGATAATTCCATAATAAACTACAACCAATCTGATGACAAATGAGAATGTTCAACAACTTTATCACATCAAAGTTGTACGCCAATAAGACACAATGTTAAGTTCAGAAAGTTTGCATGCAAGGCCTGTCATGCAGACAGTAAAGATATGTCATTACATAGAGAGCTGATGCTTTATGAAACTTGAAGCTGTCATCTCACCTTATTGCCGGTCCTTTTCCCGCTGCCTTTTCTTCTGTGAAGATTTGATAGGAGTTGCTACATGGAAGAGAAAAGATCAATTAAAGTCATAAGGTTCCATAAATTAATGTAAAACAAGTACTCAAGGACACATAAGCAACACTGAGCTATTGGTTGAGTTCAAAACATAATATATCCAATTGGCCCATTCATGGTTGACAGAAGTCTTAAACAAGTCATACATATCATTCAAGTTTGGAAAAAATACAGAGTTATGTGGAACTCAACGGTCAAAATCAGAAAAGGCCAAATCCCAGAGAAAAAGAATACATGATACTGCATATTGTCAGGATTTCGATGACCACTATAATTAAGATAAGAAGGATAGATACCAAGAAAATGAGTCTAAAGAGTCAAAAAACTGTTTGTACTAAGTGCATATGTGATGCATTATGACCACCAATATTAAAAATATCAGACTATGCTGATGGTTATACCGCTAAGACAAATGTCCATCTTCAATTAGAAATGGTGCAGATATAAATGAGAGAATTCCTCATTCCTCTTTGTTAGGCTCTAACAAGTATTATGAAAAAAATCAGGCAATTAAACACAACTCATAATGAAGAATTCGATGAGAGAGTATTGGAAAATAGGCAGCTGATCCATACATGACACGAGTTAAAGATATTTCTTGTTTTAAGTCAGTTGTAGATCAGACTAAATGATCAGACAAATCCTGCTCTAAACATTCATTCAATATGGAGACATTGAACATATCTTCAAATGAATACCTTCTCCAAGAAGCAAGAAAAACTTTTAAGAGGGGCTAATTACAAGAAAGAAACAAGAACATAAGAGAACAGGTGTATTGGGCCCTTTCACCCTAGAATAACAGTCTACCAACAAGGGTCAAAACAAGTTCCACAACCCAAAACTGTTCTTAATAAAATAAAGACGGAAATAATGAATTCAACATGCTTTAAGAAGAATGAAAAAGAATAAAAACCATAAATGATTGATACAGTGAAAAAAGTATTAAAAAAATTTATTTTGGCAACCCAATTTCAAGCATTCAAAATTCATCAACTTTGACCTTTATGGATACACAACAAAAGTCAATATTAAATTCAAGGGTAAAATATAAAAAAGCCCCTTGAGGTTAAGCGAACATACAGAAAAACCCCCTATAGTTTCAAAACATACATTCTGATACCTCATGATTTGAACTAATTTAAAAAAGCGATAGAAATCGTTTAAATTAACGGCTTTGAAAAACACGCGCTTCTTTAGTGAGTATTTGTATTGGAAAAAACAAATCTTCAATTGACATACTTATTATACCCTTAGAGTTATAATACAGAAAAGCCCCCTGCAATTAAGCAAACTTATAGAAAAAGTCCCTTATGGTTTCAAATACCTCGTGATTTGAACTAATGTAAAAAATCAACAAAAATCATTTAAATTAATGAGTTTGAGGATGCTTGACACGGAAAATAATTTTTTAAATAAAAAATTTAGGTGATATACCTATTAAACCCCTTGGAACTCATAAAATTTTCAAAAACAACCCAAAACTCCCAAGCACAATTCACCTTATTTCTATACATAAAATAAATAAGCAAAAATTTCTAAATACACCCGGGGTTTTTTTTGTATTTTACCCTAAATTCAATTTAAGTGCGGTCAACTATATACCACCACCTTACTTTTACAGTCCCTAGGCGAGGATTCCGTCCCATCTCCAATACTGATATACAACAGAAGATGGAACCATGTTGGATTAAAAAGAGTTTGTACATTGAAGAGCACTTCCAAATAATTAAAATCATGGCTACAAATTACTTCGCTTTTTTGTTGTGAATCAGCACTTAAGAACTATGAACATGCAGAGACCAAAAGTAAAATTCAGTGAAGCAATTCCTTGAGCACTTAATTTTGTGCAACCTTTTCTTCTACTATCCTTCTTTCATATAACACAACATTTTGAAGTTCGGATTCATAACGGAGAAAGAGGATTACCTCAAGTTCTCAATTCCATTATCAAAGATTGTCATCCTATGAGATAATCTTGTCAGTAAATGGTGCAGTGAACATAAACTCATATTTGAATTATGCTTAACTAAAATGTTCACCAATAAATAACCAAGTTCCGATCCATCACGGCTAGATTTTTCCTACAGCTCTATTTGTCACCTCTGTTAAAAGAATATAAGTATTCTTGTAGATAATAAATTAGTAAGGGTATTCTTGTAAATTTGTTAGGTTTGTACTCCTATAAATACTAGTTGATCACTCATAATACGGTGACTAGATGTTTAACCCTAACCCTAGGACTTTAGCTCTGATACCATGAGAATATGTATCCCTAACCCTAGGACTTTAGCTCTGATACCATGAGAATATGTATTTCGGGAAAAAAACATCTAGTCACCGTATTATGAGTGACCAACTAGTATTTATAGGAGTACAAACCTAACAAACTATTTACAAGAATACCCTTACTAATTTATTATCTACAAGAATACTTATATTCTCTTAACAACCTCAAATTCACAAATCTGGAATCAAGTTAATTTCTGTATCTTCAGAATAACAGAAATAAAATACTCAAAATTCAGTAAATCCATATTGACCTAACCATATAAAGAGAGAAAATATAAGCAAAATTTAAGAAGACAGTTTCAACATCAAATTGTATTACCATTTGAAAATATAGGAAGGAATTGATGAAAATATAGTGATGCAGAATTGGCAAACAACCAAACATCCTCAGTGAGAAAGTCATCCACCAAACAGTCACCAGTATTATTTATATCATTCTCCTGACAGGTGTCCTTCCAAGTAAAAGAATGATACTCTGTTATTCTTTTTGGAATTTCCAAATCATCAAACTGTTTATTCAAACTTTTTTTTTTAAAGAACTTCCAAAAGTCTAATAACAGAGAGTAGATTAAGCTGTACCATATTCTATATCAATGGGCCATATGTGCTTGGAGAGTACTTTATTCATTTGAAACATGTTGATAGTATTGACTCGAAAAATGGCACGCAAGGCTTCATCACATATAATTTTCCGCTTATCCTTTGGATTTTGCAAATTCTTCTCCCGGATGTAAGCCCACATTTTTTTGACAACCTATAAAGTCACAGGAACCAATGTCATACACAGAACTGAGCATGAGGCATATTGCTTCAACATCATAACACACCTCGGTTCTAGCCATCTCAGGCACTCCAACAAGTTCCTGAAGTTGGGGAGATATGGCACATGGTTTGCTAAAGCCACTTCCTTTTTTATTTTGAATTGCATCCATCCTTTGAGACCTACTATGATGAAATCAGAAGAAATGCAACAATGTTAAGAACATGAATCTGTCAAGAGCAAAATAATTAATCAACACACAAACACACACACACACACACACACACTCTCTCTCTCTCTCACACACACACACGTATATATGTTTACCGTCAAATGCTGATGATTATAACACAAACATATATGCACACAAAGACACCTTAAACAGAAGTGTAAACTCATATGAACAGTTAGGTAGTTATGTAGATCATACTCTGAATTCAACTTAAAATGGAGTAGTACAAGACAAGTCTGACACCTAAGGAAACAATAACTTTGTTCCACTGAAAGTCATCAATGTGTTACAGTTAGCACTTTATTGTCTTCAAAGCTAGTGTTTAACTTCAGTGGGTACTTCATGCTTGCAAAGTGATTAGATAAATGGGTTGTAAAGCCAAATCTTCTCCCTCAAGTTAATTTGCTTACAAAAACATCTCAGACTGAACCTGTGTTGGAATAATGAGTTTTCTAGACCAAACAATTTCATCCTCAAACATAAGATGGGACACAAGGAAAATGATATAGACGAAAATTTATGTTTTCCATCAGCATGGTGTTGGCATGTCTATCACCTTTTCTGAAACATTCCATACAGAATCCCATCAGTTATAAATGACTTCTAGACAACTTCCTTAATCGCCCATGCCTCAAGCTGGAAACAGAATTCCTATCTAGTCTTCTTGAAAAGTTCTCTTTAACCATTCCATCTTTTCCATTCCCAACCTTAATTTGTCCAGGAGCAAATAATTAAATAATACTATTCAACTATCAGGAGTCATTCCTTGTGTCCTTAAATTTAGAAAATGATAGACACAACAAAAACACCATGAACATTGAGATTACAAGTTGGACAAATTAAACTTTGGGCATAAAATTGAAACATTAAACACCTTTTGCAATTCTCCTACAATAATGCACAAGGATAAACCCAATTGAATTTCCAAAAAAGCAACTCTGGAAAAATCTTTCCTTTTCTTTCAAGCACCAGAAACATTGAAAGACAAGTTTCCGTACATCAGTAGACTACCTTTTTTGCTTATTTCTTATTCCATCACTTTCTTCTTCTTCTTCTTCTTCTTCTTCTCCTCCTCCTCCTATGTCCACTTCATTGGACCCACTGTACTCATTCTCTTCTTGCTTCACATCCTCTGATTGTTCTTCTGTCTCTTCACCATTACCGTCTTCTTCAGCTTCTTGGTGATCTGTCATTTTGAAGATGGGTTTGCAAAACAAAATGCTTCAGACATTGGCATTTGATCATCCAAATGCAAGTTTTAACAATTCATTGACTTTGACCTCTATGTATTCCTAGGAATATCAATATTATAAGCACCCCAGTAGCTACTCTAGGTAATAACAGTTTCATAATTTCCAGGCAAAAAAGGCAAAGATTCTGTTCCATCTCTTAAACATATGAAATATGTACTGAGAATCTTCCAAAAGTCTAAGAGTATAGCTTAGGAAAAGACATACCATCTTCTGCATCAATGGGCCACATGTGCTTTGACAGTGCTTTATTCATCTGAAACATGTTAATATTCTTGACCTGAAAAATTCCATGCAAGGTTTGATCACATATTATCTTTCGCTTATCCTTCGGATTTTGCAAATTCTTCTCGCGAATGTACACCCACATCTTTTTGACAACCTATAAAATCAGAGTTAGCGACAACGATAACTTGGAGAATGGGCATTTCTTTAACACCACAATGCACCTCAGTTCTAGCCATCTGCTGCACTCCAACAATTTTCTGAAGTTGAGGAGAAATTGCCCATGGTTTGTTAAAGCCGCTTCTCTTTTTCTTATCATTGTTATCCATCTTGTAAGACCTACTGCATAAGAGCAGAAAAGAAAACAAGAAATTTAATGTAGTCATTTCCATGCTTAGTTCATCCAACTTATATGCTTTACTTGATAGGACCAAAGTTTCCAACACTCAGAATCATAAAAGAAACAGCTAATGTAATCCTATTATGAATAACAATTATGTTGCGTGTATTTTAGAAGGATTATGTATCCAAAACTTTGATGTAGTCATTTATATGCTTTAGTTGTATGCACATATGCCAAAAATAATTGTTACCTTCTCTTCTTGCTTCTCACTCCATGACTTTCTTCCTCATTTTCAACGTCCACTTCCTGGTGAACACTACCCTCATTCAGTTCTTGCTTCAGATTCTCAAATTCTTGTTTCATCTCTTCACCATTACTATCTTCTTCTTCCGCTTCTTCTTGATCTTCTTGATGCTGTTGTGTGTTGTGCTTCTGGGGTTCTGCAAGAGGGGTTGAAAACATCAATATTTCTGATGAAGGTATTTCACTCATGCAACCCAGACTTCCTTGAAAAATTATAAATGCATGACCGCAGAAGCCTCAAAAATTTTTGGTGAGAACAATTCAAAAACAAACATGTCACCATTATAAAATATTAAAGAAGCATATAAAACATGATCATGCGGAAGAAATTGGCAAATATCAGTCATTCTAGAAAAAAATCATCTATGTATAGTGAATAGAAAATATATCGATCCTTCAACATAAGTTTACTCCTAAGTTAAAGAAAACTGTTATTCATTCTTTTTAGAACTCTCAAGCTAACCAAATTCCCAACATTAAAGAAAGCTTTTGTACAAAATCTTCCAAAAGTCTAAGAACAGAGCTTGGTAAAAAATATACCATCTTCTGAATCAATGGGCCACATGTGCTTGGACAGAGCTTTATTCATCTGAAACATGTTAATACTCTTTACTTGAAAAATTCCACGCAAGTTTTCATCACATATTATCTTTCGCTTATCCTTTGGATTTTGCAAATTATTCTCCCTGATGTATGTCCACATCCTTTTTACCACCTACAAAGTCACCGTGAGTGACATGAATTGAATGATGACATGGACAAACAGCATTTCTTTAACATCATACAGCACCTCAGTTCTAGCCATTTCTGGCACTCCAACAATTTCCTGAAGTTGAGGAGATATTGCCCATGTTTTGCCAAAGCCACTTCCCTTTTTCTTTTCATTTTTATCCTTCTTGTGAGACCTACTAAATAAGATAAGATAAGGACATGGAGAATGTTAAGAGCGTGAAGCTCAAGCAAAAGAAAATGCTAATCCAACCATGCTGGATGTTTACTTTCAAATACTATTTATGGTAAGTTAAGCACATACTTTTAATAAGATGCATTTTTTTTTATGTGATTAAATCCTTGAAGTCACAGGTTACAATGCATTAACCCTGCTGCTGTGACAGATTTCACACTTATAGAAACCATATTAACACACAATTGAACTTTGCAAAACTAAAAGCAGCACTATCAGTAATTTCATAGGTAAGTAACATCGTACAGAAATAACTAATTCAACCAAAAAAAAAAAGACCTCGTTCACTCCATCACACTACCAACTATGCACCATATAAGAAACAAAACCTGTCAGAACCCAAGTCAGTAATCAGCTGAGAGTCGTAAATATGTTAAAATTAGCAGTTTATGGTCCTCAGAATTTTTCACTTCAGTCAGTAATTGAATCATGATACAAGCAAGGATAGCAGATTCACAATCACTGCAAGTTGAGACTAAAACACAAATCCTCCCCCTCCCCACTGCCCCCGCCCCGCAGGTGCCAGGGGCAGGAATTTACACATTCATCAAGTAACAGTAGACTGCACCATTGCACTAGAATAATGAATTTCTTGTTAACCAAATTGTATTATTTAGCAGCATTCTGACTCACTGACTATGGCATCTCTATCAACATTGTGAACATCCCGTACAGGACTATCTTTTTTGACACCGAGTTTCTAAAGTACTTCCTTATCGTCCATTGCTCAAGGTGCATTATCCTGAATTTTCCATCTATTCTTGTTACTAATTTTTTTTTCCACAAAAATTTGTTCATACTTTCTCGTTTACTTTTGCTTAACTAGGGGCAAATAATTCTTGCGTTCAACTTACAAGTCATCTGTCCTCCAATCCTCAAATCCAGAAACACACCCAGATAAACAATGAATACACCACTAACATTGAATGAGCAAGACTAACACAAATTAGTACGATTTTGACAACTGATCTTTAGGGCAGAAAAATTGGACCTTACAAGAACTTAAAATAACATACGCGAAACAAACAAAGGCTCAAATTTTCATTTCAATTCCAAAGACAAGAAATTGTGGAAATCTTCATTTTCTTCTCGTTTATTGCGAGGGGAAAAAAAAAAAGAAAATGCCATGAAAATATGATACCTACTAATACCACTCAATTAATTGAGTACCTTTTTTGCTTGCTTCTTACTCCATCACTTCCTTCATCTTTTCCAATTGCCACTTCCTGGGTGTGGGACCCACTATCCTCATTCTCATCAACTTGCTTCACATCCTCAACCTTTACTTGCCTTATCTCCTCATCATCACTGCTATCTCCCTGGGTTTCTTCTCGATGTTGCTGTTGGGCGTCATCGTTTCTAAGTTCTGAGAGGAACAAGTCAATTTGCTCGCTTATGAAGGTTTTCCTGTCATGCAGACTAACCCCGAATTCCTCCTCGAGTTGGCGGCGAACGGAGCCAGCGGTGGCAATGTCCAGGTCGGAGGTTCGAAGGATTTCCCTGAGCCGATTGACTAGCTCCGACTCCGAAACCATTTTCACAAACTCTGTTTGTCAATTAGGATTAATGAGAGAGCGAGCGAGAGAGAGAGAGAGAGAGAGAATTGCAAATTTGTAAGTGCAGCACGCAGCAGATGAGGAAACCTGCACAAGCCCAAGTGAAGAGGGAAGACAAGAAAACAGAAGGCGTGCGTTGGAAACAAAATTTGTACCCGCTTTGTACATTGTGTGGACCATTACTACTTGAATCTGGATTAACATGTGGATAAATGTCATGTTCCATATTTTCCTATATTTCATCGATAACAAATTCTGTTCACATCCGAAAACGTCTTATTCACTTAATTTATACAAAAAATTTATTTGTTAGATCACCATTTTTATTTGGTTATTATCACTTTACCTCCTTAGACTATATCACTACTATCAGTTTACCTCATAATATTATCTTTCAGTCACTTCACCCCCATAAGTAATTCAACTCAACATGTTAAGAAATTTTGGACAAAAATACCCTTTTATTCTATAGCATTACTACACTGTTATTATTACTTTATTCTTTTAAATTATAGTGATATAATCAATTTAATTTCTAACATTATTTTCTTGAAATTTTACTTTATTGTTAATCTAACTACTATGGTAAAATTTTTTTAAATATATTTACCCTAATATATATAATTAAAAATAAAAAATTTAGAATGATTATTCTTCTTTTTTTCACTTTAAGAGATCCAAAAATATAAAAATAAAAGAATTTTCTCAAATTTCCTTTTTCACACTTATTAATACTATGAAAAAAGATAGGAAAGAAGGAGACAAAAAAACTAGGTTTTGCAAAAGAAAGAAAAGTCTAACATTATCATATTAATTTAAGGTTGTTGGGATTAGGATTGAAATCTGGTGGTAAAGCAGTAAAGTAAAATAATTTTAAAATAATAAAAGTATTTAATTTTTTCTTATTTGTATTTTCTAAAAAAGAATTGAGCTCTCTCTCCCCCTCCCGATCTTTCTATTTTTTTAATATTAATAAGATTGCTAAGAAGAAAGAAATTAATACTTTGACTTTTTTTCTTGATACTAAAGAAGAGAAGAGTCATTCTAAATTTTTTATTATTTTTATTACATAAAGAGGAGGGTACTTTCTTCTAAAATTTTTTAACTTGCTAAGTTGGCTTAATGGTGGGATAAATTGCCTAAAAAATAACTTTATGGAGTAAATTAATAATGAGATTATAGTTTATGGGGGTAAAATGATAATAATTTTAAGGGCGAAACTTGTCTTTTTAATTTAATTAACAAACTCCGTTAAGTTTGACCGTTAGTCTTGGAGGTAAAGTAACTAAAACATAACGTTGAGGGAGAAAATTGATAGTAGCACCGAACATTAAGGGGGTAAAGTGATAATAACCCTTTTTATTTTTTTAATAATGTAAATAGAAGAGTTGGAATTCGACACCTTTTACTTGCACTCTTTTCTTCAACCCACCCAACCCATACTTCTTTATGTGTTATATCACTTAATTTGTTGAATGATTGTACCAATAAAGTAATAATTGTATCTCACATGTGGATGCATTTTGCACACATATAAATGTAGACTTTCTCTTACACACCATTTTCTTTTATAACACATGTTTTACAACATAATTTCTTTGTCAAAAATATAAAATATGCATTTTCTTCTTCTGACAAATGCATTTTTACACACAAAACACATTCTCACAAACACACAAATATATTTTCCAATAATCAGTTTATTAATATTAAAATATGAAATTAAATAAATTTGTATCATAAAAAAATAAAACACAAAATTACTATTAAACTAACTTATACACATATTATAAAAATATTTCAATTCAAAGCTTATATCTAACTAATTATCAAATAAATTTGACTTTGCAAATTTAGCAAATTAAGACTTCAACAATTAAGTTTCAGTTTTTAAATTTCAGACTTGAGTCTATTTGAGTTTTGGGTGTTTGTATAAAGTTTTATTGTAGTTTACTCTATAAATTTGTAGAAAAACTTTTATGAAGAAATTGAATTTTCTTATTTTTCTTTTTCTTTTCTTTTTCTTTTCTTTTTGTCTCCCTTTCCTTCTTCCTCCTTACTCTAATCACTGGCTACCATCGCTACAGACACCTCCATTGCTGTCGTCTCTTCTTCTATTTTTCTATCTCTTTTTTTCCCTTTTCTCTCTGCAGTCTGCTCCTTCCTTTTTCCCCTCATTCTTCTTCTCTTCCCTTTTTTCTCTTCTCCTCCTTTACCTTTTCCTTTGCCTCACTCCCTTTCCCTTTTTCACAAACTTGATCATAGACCAAAATTTATGGAGGAGAATATGGGGGTGAAGGAAAGGGAATGAAAAGATGACAGGAGAAAAGGAGAAGGAAAAGAAGGGAGAGTAGAGATTTGATCATATAGCCAGCTTTGGTCGAGCGACCAAAGATAGCAAGCGGGGGTAAGAGAGTGGGTGTAAAGAAAGCAGGAAGAAGGAATAGGGAGAGAGAAGGGAGAAAGGAAGGAAGAAAAAGGATGGATGAGGAGCAAAAGAGGAAAAAAAAAAAAAGGAAAGGCAAAGTAGGAGGGTAATGATAAAAGAGTGTTTTAGAGATTATTGTAAGCAAGTTGGAGAAAAATTTTGTCTATAAAAAAGATGCAAAAAAATAGGCCTTCCAAGCAAACCCTTAAATCTACAATGACAGCATATATTGTGATTTGACCAATCGAGTTCAGGTTACTTTCTTCATGCTCAAAGTTGAAAATCATTAACTACATGCTTATTTGATAAAATTAGAGTATGAAATTTGAAATTAAGTGTTGAAAGTGTTAAGTTGCTAAATTGATTAAGCTTTACTTATATCCATTTGATAACTAACTGAATTCAAATATTGCAAAAATAATATGTTTTTATCATTAAAAAAGTTGCCTTTATTTATGTATTTGGAGATAATGAAATGAGCAAGTGTGTGTGACAGAGAGAACAACAAAACAATCTAGAGGTGGCATATTAAGTGTGTGTATTTCCGTGTGCGAGTGTATGTGTCGAACAAAAAAAAAACAAATATGTACTTTGTGCGAGAAAATGTATAAAAGTGTGTCATATGATGAGAAGTGTAATATGTATAATTAATTCAAAAAATTTAGTAAAAATTTTCACTTAAAATTTTATATACAAATTAAGTAGTCCTTAATATGGTTCTGTTTGATAAAATTGAATCTGAATCTTGGAATCTGAATTCTGAAATCTGAATAGTGAAACAGTTAATTTGTTAAAATTTAAACACTGAAAAGAAATACATGAATGTCTGAATTTTAATACTAAATCTATTTATACTGTTTGATAAACATCTATAACTGAGTGCTTAATAAGCTAAATTGTACAATTTTACCCTTCTATCTTTTCATTTTAAAAAAAGAACCTATGATTTAATTAACTTAAAATTGTTAGGTATGAAAATGATAATAATTATTTTTAAATCAAATTAATATAAAAGATGAAGTATATTATGAAAAAAAAACAAATTTGAGATTGGTGAGTACAGTAATAGCAGATAAAAAAAAGTGATTGAAAAAAAATTAAAATAATGAAAGAATAAAAAGATGCGAGGAGTATGAAGAAACTGTAAAAATCATTAAATAGAAAAAAAAGATAAGTATAAAGCAATTAAATAGAGAATATCAGATTGTTTAATTAGATAAGAATTTTGAATATAATTAACAAACAAGGGTAAATTTGGTAGATAAGATAAAATGATTGAAGAAAATCTGTTGATTCTAATCAGAATTAAGCATTTAATTATGATTATTGTGCTGAAAAAAATACACACAAATTCAGCACCGCTTAACAAGTTCAGTAGATGAATTTTTATTTGTTAAATATCTAAAACTTCTAAATGTCTAAAATATTCAGTTTCAGCAGTTTTTTATGTTATCAAACAAACCCTAAGTGGTAAGATATTTCTGTTATTAGACATGCTAAATTGAAAAAGTTTGAATGAATTAATTTTCAATATTAAGTAGAATTATAAAACCATACTCTACACGTCCAACTAACACTACATTTAAAGTCTTATTCATTGTTCTAAGCTACCCATCCAACTCCTTAATAATGAGCCCCAAGATGGATCTTTGGACTTAATTTGATTTAAAATTTTCATAATTTTATTACAAAAAGAAGGATTATTTAAAAGATCTACTTACTAACTTATAATTGAGCAATAAGTACAACGGAAAAAGGTTGGATTGAATGGTTCCGGAGGAGAGATTGTAAAGTGAGAAATCTTGGGCTCGTACCCTCTTATTACACTATAAAAAAAAAAGCAATAAATACAACAACAATCTTGACTAGTATTAGAAAGTTCTTCCTTACATGTGGTGATTAAAAAAAGGAAGGAACACCAAAGATTAAATAATTAGTACCATATGGTGCTTAACTTTCGTTATTCAAATGGATGGAATCTTGGACAACTGAAAAATTGCTGCCATAACCACCATTTCCTGAGGGAGCCTCTCAGGAAAGTAAATTTGGTTAGCCTATGTTGTTAATCAGTAAATTTGGCTGTAACATTCCTAAAGCAGAAGTACTGGGTAATATTTGGACCGTTGTAAGTGTTGAACGCTACACAAAATACTAGTTACAAAGAGGTCCTATAAGTTGTCATCGTCACCGTAATCAGAAGCATTTTCATCATAATCAGAGCCGCTCTCAAAGTTAATGTTTTGGTTTTCTGCTGTTTCAGAGGGGTTTACTCTACCTACTTGCAGAACATCTTTCAAATCATCAAGAATGAAGGGTTCTACTAGGTTCCAAAACCTCGAAGCATTGCTCCCTTGAAAACCTATCAAAAACACCCTTCCCTTCCTTTTTACCCTGTTTTCCAAAGATCTCGTCTTCAATGCTTTCAGAACCCTCGCAATGCCTTCTTGACTTCCCTTTAGCTTCAACAGAATGTCCCCTCCCGACGTCCTATGGCCACCATACATATACCAGTATGCAAGGACTCGGGGTGACAACCACCGATGAATTAGCTTCGGAATCGCAGGCTGACTGTTAGGCCAGAACTGCTTGGCATAAAAAGTAAAACAAGAATGTGAGATGGTAGTAAAGTGAAATGGAGTACCATCAACCCCATCTACTGGATTTCCGCAGTCCAACCATTCATGGTACTCGTCATGTATATGTCTCTTCAAAACAGAATGAATACCCGACTGTTCATTAAACTCAAAAGTAATGGCAAATTTCCTATTATCTTGACTTGATACCATTCTTAAACCACCCAAGAGCATCCCGACTAAAATCTCTCGCTGGACATCATTAAGCTTCAACTTTGGGGGTGTTCTGACAACTTCTCTACTCAAGCTAAGAGTATAATCAAGCTTCTTTTTTAAAGCAGGCTCGATTACGTAATTGTTGCGGTACATTAAATCGAACATCTTTTCTATCTTCACATAATCTCCACAGGAGAGATAGCCCTTCAACATTGTGTTACATGACCTAGCATTAACACCAACTGTGGCGTTACCATACATTTGGCTGAAGATCTCTTCCGCCCTCTCCAGACTGCCAACTTGTACAAGTGAATCTAAGTAAATGTTGTACATGGTTCTGTTCGGCTGACATTTCTCAAGGCACTGGATGAAAGCCGACTCCAACTTATCATGCAAGCCTAAGTTGGAATACATAACCATCAAATGGATAAAAGATGGTCTGAGGGGTTTCAAGCCACTATTTATGAACTCTACCATAAGAGACTCAACCAGTTCTGTATTTCGAGCTTTAGACAACACCTCTACAATTTTGTGATATGCCATAATACTTGCGGAACCCAAAAGCTCCTGCATACTCCTGAACACTCCCAAAGATTTCATGGGTTCGCCAACCTTTGCATAAACTTCCATAAGGTACACAAATGCTTGTGGTGGAGGATCCTTATTGAAGGACAGAAGCTTATTCCAAGTTTTTTCTGCTTCCTCTAAATCTCCTTCATTAGAGCAAGCTCGTAAGACTGACACCAGCACCTCTCTGCTCTCTTCAAATCCCTTTGATTGCATTTCAGCTCGCAATGATGCAATCCTTTCCATATCTATGGCATCCTGATGGCTGTGGAGCCATATAAGGCTGCCGTAGATGTCCTTGTGCATTTCAAGTCCAGAAGTTGTCAAGTCGTGAAATATAAACTCTGCCTGGGCAAGTAGGTGCTTACAAGAGCCTCCTGGTTTGCTCGCAAGAGCTCTGAACAAGGAATTGTGTAAGTTGAGTCGAGGCTTATAACCTCCCAACTGAACCATACCTGTAAATATGTTGCATGCTTCCTCTAGGCAACCTTCAGCAGAAGAACTAAGATAGGCAACGGTCAGTATATGATACATGGATTCGCTAGGAACTCGTCCTTGGTTAAGTATATCATCAAAAATCTCCCTACATTTCAAGTACTTTCGCTCCTTACCCATGTAGTCAGCTAACTTGGTTGCAAGACCAAAATCAAAACGGAACCAGTGTTGCTGCATCATCCATTTGTAAACCTGAAAATACAAGTTCCTAGTATTATCAGTTCAGCGATCAAATAGCTATCCTCGTGCTTTGGGAAATGAGGCAGCTGGAGAGGCGTAAAACAGGCAAGTCTCCCCGTAGTTGCAGTTAAATGTGAGGGGCCCCAAGGGGGGGGGGGACCTATGTATCCAAACTTGCATCAAACGATCATGGAGTAAACTATTTCACTCATCCCTCTACGAAATAATCGTAAAGCTTTCAAAATTCTAATGCTAAGAATTGAGTCTTTGAGCAGAAGAACATGGAAGCGTACTCTTTTATTTTTTTTTTTAATTATTCAACAAATATAATTTGATATACTTGATAATTTGGCAGGAATAGCAGAAGTTATTCATTAACTTGGTAATGTGGCCAACGATTGAATAATGGAGTTGAGCTGAACAGAAGCTCGAAATGATCAACCTTTTTAGCTTAAAATAGATGGGGAAAGAAAAAGAATTTACCCTAAAAGCGGTCTCATTTTCGCGAATGCGGATACAATGAACTACTACATAAGTAGCATCATCTTGCCTCATCCATTTTCTCTGGGAATTCAGGAGCCGGATCAGCGTCCCGTGATTATGCGCCGGCAACTCCTTACAAAGCCAAGCCAATTTTGACCGGCGCCACTGTTCCGGAAGCTCATCAAGTTCTTTAACTTGAACGGTTGGCGAGTCGAATCGCCTCAACTCAGTCGACTCAAACGGACCATCAAAATCGAATCCTTCCGTCTCCCCATTTTTCAGTATCTCTAGATTGTCATCATCCGGTAGAGATTTTTCAGGCGAGCGGTCCAACTGTTGAACCGAAGTAGTAGCTGAGACGGAATAGAGAGGTGGAAATGTGATGAAACGGAGGCGGAGCGAGGGACGGCGATAGAGATAGCAGGGGAGAGCGAGGGATGTGGGAAATTTGGAGGATTGGGTCGGGCAAGTCCGGAAATTTGGAAGAGGAGTTTGGGCTGAGCTGGAGAAGGGGCTGCTCAGAAGCAGCATGATATATCGGACGTCTACAGAATAGAGTTTGGCGGGGAAACGTGGGAGGCTGCCTCCGACGCCGGCAGCCGGGAGCTAAGGAGCTTTTAAGTTTAATTTGGTAGTGGTGGTCCCGGTGGATGACAAAGTAATCTGATCCCTCACCCGGAAAGTAATCCATCCACACACATTCTTGCCTGCTTCTAAATGTAAACAAGTGGAAAGGCGGTATATAGAATTTTAGATAGAGTGTAAATAGATTGGAGTATGATTTAAAAAAAAAAACAATTATAAGTAGTAACTTTTTTGTTTTTTCGAGTACGATAATTATTGTATAGCCTATTTATCCTAAATTACAAGACTACAGGTGAGGGGAAGCCTAAAGAGATTTTTTATGTTAGAAACTAGTAGGTATACAAACCTTACTAGATCAAGGGAGTTTTGACACAACTTTTAAATTTTTTTTCCTGCAAATGAGATTTAAAACCCTGCCTACTGTTAGAAGTAATTAGTATAAATACCCGTGCTACGTACAGTAGATACATTTGTGAAAAAATTACAATTTATGGAAGAATTTAAAAATAGTAAAATATTATAATCACGGGCACATGAAAGTATATTTAAAAAAAATGAAACTTTGTAACAATAGTTCAATATATGATTAAAACATCTCCATTATTTATAAACTATCACTTTGATGAAGGTTGGATCTTGAAAAGAAATAGAAATTTATATCATAAATTGAGCGACATAAGGGTCCAATTAAATATAATTGAATATTTAATTTGATAAGTAAATGAAATACTTACAAACATTTTGCCATTGATTTGATGATCTTCTACGAAGGTGTGAACATTTTTCACACCAATCAACTCTGAGTACGAATGCCAGTATTGGGGGTTTAATTAATTCTATTGATTTTTGTGGAGTCCACACTATAAATGAGAATGCACGATTTTTGCATGAATTAATGTGTTGGTTAAACAATGCATCTCCATTTTTTGGACAATTAAAAGGATACATAGTTCAAAATTATCTTTTGTTTTAGACAGTTTGTAAATAATATTGTCTAAATATATATATATATATAAATAATGTATACCTTTGTTTTTAAATCTCTAAGATAAGAAGTATCACAACGTAACATGAATCGTGCATGCCCGTCTTGAAGAGCGAGGTATAAGTTACCACTGGAATCTCTAACTTCTATGTTAACATTGTATCTGTTAAGAAGAAATTGTGATGTATGATGCAACAAATTATATTAAAATTCAAAATATATGAAAATAATTACCTGATAATAGCGTTGACTACGTCATTACAATGGATACACACAATTTTTACAAAATGAAATTGACATGATTGCCCACAATTTTTGCATAACTCATGGTGGTGTTGTCAAATGGGGCGCTTCGTGCTGATGCATAAGCACGCACAGTCATGTAGTACCTTGTTGGCTGTTGATTGGCGGTAAGAAGGACATCCGTCGTCTGCCCTGGCCCTAGCATGATGACTCTGGTTGCAAAAGGCTTGTGGTAAATTGCATCGGCTTCGACAACCGTTAGCTGGTGGTTGGCAATGGTGAAGAAGAGTTGTTGATTGAATGCAGCATTGATGACTCTCAGAAGAATTGTATCCCCAGAGTTCACAGAGACTTTGAAAGTACCTGTATCATATAATTTGAGGTTAAGGCGTTTATTTATTCAAGTTCTCAGCTTTCTTTTCTACAAAAGATGGATTCTTGGTACGGGGAATTAGCAACCTTTACTGGAGCATCTGTATAGGTCACCAGGTTGACCATTAATGGTATAAGCATCAGAAACGTTTGGAGCAGCCCCAGTGAAAAGAGCTTGTCGTATAACACTGATGATGTCTCTATCCCACCATTCTCCTATTGAATTTTACCATTTTACTTTAATTAAACTTGGTGAAAACAACACAGGCTATCAAACTTACAAAGGGAACTGAAAGAATTACCAAGAATAATAGGGACTTCATGCCTGGGCTTGGGAAAAGGATATGGGGATCTCAGTTTAGGAAGGATGACAAGGGTTCCATAGACAGTAGCTCTAAGCCATTTGCTGTGAGCGTGCCACCGCAATGTGCCCTCTTGGTCTTCAATGGTGAATCGGTATGTGTAAGTTGCTCCTGGCTGGATTGGGCACTGGGTAACATACACTGGACCATCTGCCCACGGCGTTCGAATTGGAAGAGTTTTAATGTAAGTGGGAGTTAACTTCTTGTTTGAAAGAGACGTGGGAGTGTTAGTTGGAGTTAACTTCTTGTTTGAGGGAAACGTGGGGGTGTAATGTGCCCATGATATTTTTTATGAAATAAATTAAATATAAAATGCTAGGAAAATAGAGTTGAGAGTGGGACGGGTTGTGAATGCTTGTTGGTAAAAACCCCTTTTTGCTGTGAGCGTGCCACCACAACGTGCCCTCTTGGTCTTCAATGGTGAATCGGTATGTGTAAGTTGCTCCTGGCTGGATTGGGCACTGGGTAACATACACTGGACCATCTGCCCACGGCGTTCGAATTGGAAGAGTTTTAATGTAAGTGGGAGTTAACTTCTTGTTTGAAAGAGACGTGGGAGTGTTAGTTGGAGTTAACTTCTTGTTTGAGGGAAACGTGGGGGTGTAATGTGCCCATGATATTTTTTATGAAATAAATTAAATATAAAATGCTAGGAAAATAGAGTTGAGAGTGGGACGGGTTGTGAATGCTTGTTGGTAAAAATCCCTTTTCAAATTTATATAGATATAGACAACCACTCTACCTACAAATCTACAATTGGCCTAAAATGGAACATATGAGACAGACCTCTGTTCCGTCTAGAATTGCATATGACTTGTTTTAAGGTGAGCAGTAAACTACAAAAATAAATAAATAAATAAATATATATATAGAGTTACCTCTTGCAAATTCCATATCCCCTCTCGCTTGGATGGGACGTGCTGTATCCATGGTTGTCAATGCAACTATTTTATTTTATTTCCCTGATGATTTCTTTAACACTTTGAAAAGGAAGATTTTCCTTGATGCATGAACTGGCATCATCACTCACATTCATGATACGGGATGGGCTTGGACCCAAAGAAAGAATTTTAATGCCCATTATCTAACAAGTTCGTTGAATGAGGCCACGATGCCATTTAGTGACATACAGAAATGGGCTAACTGCCCACTGAATGTCCGCCACCACCGCCCCACTAAAATCTCTGATTGGACCAGCAGTCCTGACATCCGGGGCCCCGTTCCTTCATTTCATAAAGAAATACTCCTAAAAGGAAAAGGGACCACAAGAAAGAACCTTTTGGCTTTTTGCCGCCAAACGACGCCGAACCACATATCACCAGTTGTCGGCTCCTAAACGCTTCCTCGTGCGCTGCTCCCCGCCTTAAAGCTTATCCATCCACCAATTGAAGGTCACTTTCGTCATTCCAACCCTTTCACACTCGGCCCATTCTCGTCATTTCCACACCAATTTTCAAATCCATCTTACCCTTTACAGTTTACGCTGATTCAGAGGAGCAACCACCAGTAGTCCGTCCGTCCGTCCGTCCGTCCGTCCCCCTCTTCAATTACCAAAACAATTCTTTAAAATGGGTCCGTCTATCATATTAATTGACTTCCCTCACGTCTAGCATAATTGCCAGGGACTCTGTAAAATTTATACTATTGGCTTTCCTTATTTTCTGCAACATGTTTAGTAGTATTAAATTTTGGGTTGTTTCTTTATCATCTAACTTTTATTAACACATATAGTTAGAATTCCTAAAATATGTAGCATTCAATATACTTTTTTTTTGGGAGATAAAATACGATAAATAAAACAATAGGATATACGAAGAATCAAAGTTTCTCAAGCTACCAAGTTCTGTATAACTAGCTGATGAACTATAAATTATACTGGAGAACCATTTTGTGGAGTTCAAGTTGGTCCAAAAAAAAAAAAAAAGGAGTAGTAGTGGATGTTTTGTTTCGTTCTGCTATTTTTCGCCCCTACTGAACACCTGTACAAGGAGCCATCTTTTGTTATTTTGATACTCGATGAGACGTTGATGCAATTGTAAGAAACTTGACGGCAACTCGAGTAATTTACCCAAAAAGCCTATTTCCCCTTCGTCAGAACGAGTTAACGAACCTCCTACCAAACACACAGAAAATGCAGAATAAGCTACAGCTAAAAGGTGAACAGCAAAAAAGCACTAAACTTCACGAGCTTACACTCTCTATATAGATGTACACATGTATATATAGCTATACAGCTTCGTGTGAATTGATGATGACGACGACGATCATGAAATTGATGTACTAAAAGAACCTAGAAACAAGAAAAAGTGAAACTCGGTAGTAGAGTTGTGGTGGTAAGTAAAACCTTCACGGGCTTGCGGCCTTGCTTTGAGCTCATCAACCATCCTTTTTAAGGTCTCTATCTTCGAACAACATACAAACAATTATTTACTTGGATTCTGTGATCGACAGCTTGCCAGTTGCCACTTTGGCTTGCGGGGTTTTTGATTTTTATTGTGCTTAGGGTTCTTGTTTGGATGAAGTTTGAGGCACGTTTAGCTGCTTGTTGTGGATTGATGATTATGAACTTATGATAATGGTGTTTGGGGTTTGAATTTGGGATTGAAGAAATCAGGGTTCGGGCTTTTTGGGTTTGAGTTGGTTTTCTTTGGGGCAAATGGATCGAGCGGCGTTGACTGTGGGGCCGGGAATGGATATGCCGATTATGCACGACAGCGATCGCTACGAGCTGGTGCGGGACATCGGTTCCGGGAATTTTGGAGTGGCTAGGCTCATGAAAGATAGGCAGACGAACGAGCTTGTGGCCGTTAAGTATATTGAGAGAGGCGATAAGGTTCGTTTGTGTATCAATTTTTTTTTTTTGAGTTTCGACTGAGCTATCTTGTTGAGGTTTGCCTTTTCTGGTAAGTGGAAGTGTTAGTTATATTTAGGGCGGGAAATGTGTTGGTCATATTCTTCCCGTTTAATTGTTTTGAAGGCTAATCAAGAAAAGGAAAAACTTACTAACTCAGACCTCGATTGAACTGAAATGAGCTTATGGGGTTTGCGTTAATCCGGTGTTTTCATGATTTGGTGAATTGACTTTCATCTAATGAAATTAGCATCTGTGTTAGATATGGTTAAACTGGTACATAGTTTTACTCAGTAACTGCGGTGTAAAAGGAAGCTGCTACTTGGGTTTATAGGATAAGTCCACTGACCTTTGGAGCTCTATCCGTCGTGAATAGGCATATTTTCTGTTTTAACTTATTGTGCTAATTACATGTGTTCTCGGGATAATAGGCAAATTTTGTTCTGTTTAGATACCTCTTCAATAGTTGCAAACTGGATGTACGCAATATGTTACAGTAAACTAATTTGGATGTTTGGTCTTTGAGACTGGTTATCCTCCATCACCATAAGGTCTTGTAGCTAGGTGAGGCCCTTTAGGTTTGTGAGTAATGAGTTCGAATGTTTGCAGCTGTCTAAGCTATAACTGCACGTGGCAACATGGTTCTTCAGATTATTTGGGAGTGCACAAATTAGACTTCAAAACTGAGGAAGAAATAGTAACTTGTGATTTGGTGAGGATGGATAGCTAATATTAAGTAGCTGTATGTCTGGTGCTGTAGGTAACTTAGACTCTTAGACTTTTAACAGCACTGATTAGCTGACAACCTAGTTCATGAAAAAGTGATACCCAGTAGGTTCGTTTCCATCAATCAGTAGACAGTTTGATCGCAAGTGATTCAGTCAGTCAGCTGGACCAATGTATTTGAGCTGAGTCAGATATTGCTATTTGTATGAGATATGATCTTTTCATCTTCTGAATTATAGCCATTTTTGGCTTCGCTAACATTCTTCTTATTGGTGATTCTAATGTCAGATTGATGAGAATGTGCAAAGAGAAATAATCAACCACAGATCACTAAGGCATCCCAACATTGTCCGATTTAAAGAGGTAAATGCACTTTGAGATAGTTCTCTCTCTCTCTCTCTCTCTCTCCCCCCTCCCCCAAATATGCACATACACACACTGTCTGTGCGTATTTATAATACATATAGACTTGGAAGTGGTAGGGTGCATGTAAGGTTTTTGAATTATTTAAGCATTAACCTTGTGGTTATGATGTTACTATAGGTCATATTGACTCCAACCCACCTGGCTATTGTGATGGAATATGCCTCAGGAGGAGAGCTCTTTGAGCGAATCTGCAATGCTGGCCGATTCAGCGAGGATGAGGTTCTTATTTGGGGTTCTAGTATGGTTAAAATGTACGACTACTATTGAAATATGTTTATAACTATCTGCTATATCTTGTGCACAGGCACGATTTTTCTTCCAACAGCTTATATCAGGAGTCAGTTACTGTCATGCTATGGTACTGAGATTAAGTCCTAATATAATTGCATTTCATCTGTATTTTGCGTAAACTTGCACGTATTTCAGTTTGAATGACTAGTTTTTTTTTTAATTTATTTAAAGCAAGTGTGCCACCGTGATTTGAAGTTAGAGAACACATTATTGGATGGTAGTCCTGCTCCCAGGCTAAAAATTTGTGATTTTGGCTATTCCAAGGTATCATATGTCTTCTGTGTTTTACTTGGTTTTCTTATCATTAACGAGCTTAATTCAATTTATCTAGCTCAAATATGCTGGTATGGGACTTTTTTTTTTTTAAGGTATATGTGGTAATTAGGATAGTTTCTTTAAGGCATATGTGCTTGCAATTCATTTATGACAAGTGAATGGAGATTGGAGAAACTTGTGATCCCCTCCCCCCCCATTCTGTCTTTTCCCCTTTCCAAAGTTGCTTTTTACGGAGTCTGCCTAAATATGTGACAAATATTACTTTATTTTTTAGTCTTCGGTGCTGCATTCACAACCAAAGTCAACTGTTGGTACACCAGCATATATTGCGCCCGAAGTTTTGCTCAAGAAAGAATATGATGGAAAGGTAACCATTTCGTTGCTATATCTTGATTCTAGGAACCTGAGTAAATAAGGGTATTAGATATTTTTATGGTTCACCTGCATTCGTTCTGATCTTGATCTTGAGATTGATCCTTGAGAAGGCAATCATTAAATCTTGCTGTTCGCATTTTTTATTGCGTTAAGTTAATTTGATGTCTTGAGTTTTTCTGCAAGATGTTTGTTGCATGTCGTAAGATTTCTGACAATGGCTATCAAAGCTAATAGTGAGACACACTGTTTCTTTAGGTCTGAGCAAGTCGTCAGGCTCATTAGTCTGTCTAGATCTGATGAGCCGACCGGGTCATGGTTAGGTTACGAGTTCCCTGATACCACAAGTTTATACGTGTTGTTGTTGCCGAATCTAAGGATATGATGCAATAAATAGTTGGTTTTAACTTATTACTGGCTTTATTGTGCTCAACCCACCATAGATGATTAGGCATTGGCTTGCCAGGATGTTCTGAAAGATGTTTACTTGCAGAATTTGTGGTTTGTCTATTTGCATTAGGCCATCCTTAAAGGGCTTCTGTCACCTACATATATGTGGGAATATTGAACTTATTGCTCTCTCCACTGGTCAAATTAAACTTTTTAACTATTTGATGTACTTCCATCTTATCACCCCACTGGTAGTCTTTAGTGGAAGTGTCTGCCATAGAAGCTTTAGTTGCCAGCATTTTGATGCGTTGCATAAGCGAGAAACAGCATGGTCCTGACAGACACAAGAAGATTAAACATTCTTTTGCTCATATAGATTGCTGATGTGTGGTCTTGTGGAGTTACTTTGTATGTCATGCTTGTGGGGGCATACCCTTTTGAGGACCCAGAGGAGCCCAAAAACTTCAGGAAGACAATACAGGTAATCTTAAAGGCTATTTTTCCATACACGTGTCATCTTTTGTTAAGTTATTTGGCTAAGTGGTGTAATTTCCTGCAGCGAATTCTGAATGTCCAATACTCAATTCCCGATTATGTT